GTGTGTGTGTGTGTGTGTGTGTGTGTCTCATATTGTAGAAGAACAAACAGATCTTTTCAGCCTTGTGTGTGTGCACATGTGTGTGTACAAGCGTGCCCATGCAAACATACCAAGCTTAGAGGACAACTTTCTAGGAGTTAGTTCTCCTTGTATGAGGCACAGTCTCTCTTGTTTCTGCCCCTGGCCTCCCATCTCCGCTCCCATCTTGCTACTGCAGTGCTGAAACTGCAGATGTATGCCACTGCATCTGGCTCTTCGTGTGGACTACAGGCATGGAGCTCAGTTCATCAGCCTTATGTGGCAAGAGCTCTTACCCACCAAGCCATGTCCCCAGCTCTGCTGTAAGGTTTTTTTATTCTCAGTATTCTCTGCAGACTCTGCCTCTGAGATCCACCTCACTCTGAGTGGAACCACTCTCTTTACTAACTTGACCTTTGACCTTTGACCCCACCTCTAACTTCTCGTCCGCACTGACCTTGCCTGGGAGTCCCCTCCCACCTGCAACAAGCTGTCTTTGGAGCTTGCCCCAATTCTGGACCTGCCCAGCCATGTGTCAAGTTTTAGTTTTCCGCAGCTTGAACAGAGTTTACCTGTTTTAAAGCCTTGTCTCTCCCTTCCGTACCAAATCTTGTAAGAGATTTAGCCATGGCGATTTTATGAACCAAAATGCAAACTAGTTTGGGGAAAGACCTTTCGTCCTCAAGGGAGTGAACATGATTTCCTACGTTCTGAGGGCGTGTTGATTACAGCTTCAGTAACATCTATTTGGGGAGAAAGCAAAATAGCACATATTTTGAGTATGTTAAGCGTGACTTTATGAATATTAAAGACCTCGAGGCACTGGAGCTGCAGCTCAGTTGGTAAAATGCCTGTCTAGCGTGCTCTCGACCCTGAGCTGGGTCCCAGAATCGTATACACCAGGTGTGGAAATGCGTGTCTGCATTCCCAGGACTCAGGATCAGAAGTTGAAGGACCCAGGTTTGATTCCCAGCACCCACATGACAACTCATAGCTGTCTGTAACTCCAGTTCCTGGGGACCTGACAGCCTCCTCTGGCCTCCTCAGGTAGCAGGCACATAAGCGGTTTACAGACAAATGTGTCATGTAGGCAAAGGACCCATACACATAAAATAATAAAATAGTTTTTTAAAAAGACTATTCAAAAATTGAATTATTTTGCCTTGTTGTATAAGGCAAGGTCTGCTATATAGCCTAGGTTGGCTTCAAACTTGTGATCCTCCTGCCTCAGCATCCAAAGTGTTGGGACTGTAGGCCTATGCTACTATGTGTCTCAATGTGAATTTTTAAATTAAGAAAACTTAGTAGTGTCCCTCACTACTAAGTTGTGAACTAAGATTCTGGTTCCTTCCCTTTGGTATAGCCTACTCACTAGCTATATTGTATTAAATAGCTGTGACTTTAAAAGATGGACATCTTCAAATATTACACATTAAACACAAACATGACTTGGGACCTGAATTAGCCTCAATCTCCCTGATGTTTCACACCAGTACATACCCGCTTTGGCCCTGAGAAGTCAGTCTGGGATACCTTTTCTATGAGGTTTCCTATCCATGGCCCCTACATGTAAATCATACCTGCAGGAAAGTCTTCTAATAATGGCTACGGTAGAAAATTGAGTTTTAGACACAGGCTGGAGGTTGATGGTAGGAATTGAATCTAACCAAATGACAGCTCCACTTGGTGCATGGACCCTCCCTGGTATGGGGTCAGTTCCTAACAGAAAATAACAAAACATGAATCCAGTGCCTAATTAAATATTTCAGAGGATCTAATTAGAAGCCCCCACTGTTTGCCCTGATTACCATGTGGCTGCATCTACAGATGCTCAGAAATCTAAAGGCAATAAGTTCTCAGGCCTTCATACAGTTATTTTCTTCCCCCTGTGTGGACTTGCCCAGGAAATGAGACTTAATGAGTCCCAGTCCTCCCTGGGAATCACAGGAGAGCTCGTTAGCCTGTCATCGGGCCCCTACCTACTGGCTGCCCACCACATGACTAGGATTGCCTTTGAGTTAAATATATCACGGAAAAGGAGAATCCCGAAGAGCGTTGTGTGTGAATGCGGCGGACCAAGGGCTGTATAAACATGTTTATATATGTTAGGAGGCATCTGAGACAGAGGTGAGAGAACAAGGGAACAGCCTTCTCTGGCAATGGTGTGACATCGATGACCCTTGGTCACACAGAAAAGGGTTTAATGTTTACACATTCACTAGCCCTTCCAAATTTCCCCAGATGCCCAGACTAAGGTAGAGGGGAAGACAGGAGGAAAGAGTCATGAGTCTTAGGACCTGCCAGACCAGGGAGTTCCTACATATGCTTCCGTGGGTGTCACCAAGGCCTCCTGATCTCACAGCCACCACCAGCAGTTCACTCCTGATCCCCTGGGAAGGGAAGACACTATGCTCTCAGACGGCAGCCCCAACTGAATCCCTAGTCCTTGCCCAGACCATCTTAGAAGTCAGGTAGGCTCGCCTGGCAATGACCTCACCATAGAGGAAGAGTGACATTAATGACCTTCCACAGAAGTCCTCCTGGGACTTTCTGGGGTTTCTTAATGGTCACCCTTCTTCCCTACAAATACAGAGAGTCCATGCCAATCCGATATGGATGATTTACAGCCAGGGATCAGTGCCAGTCCCTGAAGAACGTCTTCTGAGCTAAACACAGGCTCTGAGACATGTTTGAACTAAATTCCAAGAGAATCTTAATTTAAACAAATATTGTTCTACAAACACACACACACACACACACACACACACACACACACACACACACACACACACTACTTGGTGGTACAATTTCAGATAGTATGCAAATACTCTGATCTTATTTAACACTTTCTTTGGGGTCCCTGAACCTCAAATCAATGTTCGTATCTAGACCATGGTATCAAGAGCTGTAAGAGTGGATGACTCCCTGAGGGCTTAGCGGCAGGTGTACTTCCATCTCAGTCAACGCTGTCGACAACTGACAGGTACATCTACTGTTATTCCCAATAATAAGGGTAGAGAACACACTGTCCCAGTAGTGAGGGGTAGTTGGGTTAGAACACCAAGCAGTGTGGCTCTGAAATCTGTGCTCTGACCTAGGACATCATCTTGTCCATTTAATACAGCCGATTGTAAACAGAAGTTTTCAGAAAAACGGTCAGACCTGTGTAAAGATTCTACAAGACTGAGTGTGGTGGTATTGTGTTCCCCAAAATATTGTACACCCTAATAAACTTATCTGGGGTCAGAAACAGAACAGCCACTAAATACAAAGACTAGAAAATGGTGGCACTCACACCTTTAATACTAGCACTTCAGAGGTAGAAATCCCTCTGGATCTCAGTGAGTTCAAGGCCACATTGGAAACAGCCAGGCGTGGTGACACACTCCTTTAATCCCAGAAAGCGAGCCTTTAATCCCAGGGAGTGATAGCAGATAGCAGAAATGTATATAAGGCGTGAAGACCAGAAACTAGAAGCATTTGGCTGGTTAAGCATTTGGCCTGGTTAAGCTTTCAGGCTTCTAGCAGCAGTTCAGCTGAGACCCATTCTGGATGAGGACTCAGAAGCCTCCAGTCTGAGGAAACAAGACCAGCTGAGGATCCAGCGAGGTGAGGTAGATGTGGCTTGTTCTGGTTCTCTGATGTTCCAGTTCACCCCAATACCTGGCTGGATTTGATTTTATTAATAAGAACTTTTAAGATTCCTGCTACAAGACGGAGTATGTCTTCTGTGGGTCTGTAGAATTGGAACGCTGCTCGTCTAGAGCTGGGTTATCTTTAGTTACTTTTAGCCCCATTATTAGCCATTCATTGCCCACCTCTGAGTACGACCCAGCATCTATTCTTATGCACACTTGGTAATATCCTTTTTGGAATGTATGCATGGACCAACACCAAGGCTAAGAATGTCAACAGCTAGCATCTGAGGCCTAGAGCAGACTTCCCACTTGGCTGTGTGAACCTACCTACGTGCCCCATGTTTCCACCAATAATGTTTTAAAGTACCTTGAGGGTTAGTGGGACAGGTGAAGGCACCAGCCACTAAACCTGACAACCTGCGTTCAATCTTCAGGTACCTTGTACCCTCAAATAAATAGATAGCTACATACATACATACATACATACATCTATAAATACATAATCAAAAATGTAATAAGTTTTAAAAAGTGTTGACTGATGGTTTTCTTTTTTTTTGTTTTTTGTTTTTTGTTTTTTGTTTTTTTTTTTTTTTTGGAGACAGGGTTTCTCTGCGTAGTTTTGCGCCTTTCCTGGAGCTCACTTGGTAGCCCAGGCTGGCCTCGAACTCACAGCGATCCGCCTGGCTCTGCCTCCCGAGTGCTGGGATTAAAGGCGTGCGCCACCACCGCCCGGCGACTGATGGTTTTCTTGTACCATTACTATATGGATTTCTTGAAACTGTTACCACCGTGGTACATGGTATTTGGGGTAGCCTGAATCTGTACTCCCTGACTACAGTCACTCATATTTGGCTCCAGAATCAACTATCTCTTACTCCCTTTGAGGTGAGAGCAGTCTTTTTGCTTGACAAGATTTTTCCTTTAAAGCATGTTCAGCCCTAGCTTTTTGTTTAATCCTGTAACTAGCTCCCAGGACTTAGACGAGGTGCCTCGTTCCACTTTGGTGGGTGTCAAGGGCATTTCCAACATGGAACAAGAGACTTACTTTCTGAGCTGTTCAGACAATGAAATCACAGTTGATGAAATTAAAAATTAAAAGCCACAACTCTGACTCAAGCCTCCCCCGTCCATTAGCCACAGTTTGGAACGCCCTGGGAGCATCTCAGAATCTCTCATCACAACAGACCTCTGTCTTGAGGGCGAAGTCAGCATGGAGGTGTTTTGAAGCCATGCGCCATTTCCTGCAGACACCTGACCTCCCGTGGTTTACAGAGCAGAATTTTGCTTCTACAAAGAGGAAGGCGTGGAGGGACGAGGGACGGGAAGGTGAGCATCCGTCCACAGAGAATAGAAGTGCGGTAGGCATGTGACCATGCTAGACCTTGGATGTCGTGCCTCATCCTTTCACAGCGCTCTAAATCGGCTAACGTGTAAAATGTTGTAAGCGTTTGAACCTCTTTCTCTGAATTCGGTCTCATTCTGCAGTGACTGACGAGGCTGTTACTAATTCACAGTGACCATGTCCCTCCTCATAGTCCCTGTCATTCATCCTTCACAGTCATTTCTTGGCTTCTTGTCCTGCCTAACTGTCCCAGAGAAACGAGGCAGCCCAGACCACTTCTAAAATGGCACCCAAATGCTGGGGGCACCGCATAACCTTTTCTGAGACACAGCTGACCTTGTAAGAAGTAGCAAAGACAGTCCTCTCTCCTGGCCCAGGTGCTAGAAGTAAAGAGGTGCACGCTGCCGGGGCTGCCATCTTGTCTGGTGAACAAGGTCGGGAGATAAATAGAGATTCTAACGGAAAGAAGCTGGGCCAAAATACCCAAGCTATCCAGAGGAAGGTGGAGCGCAATCTCTGCAAGGGGAAGCTGGGACCAACAGGAAGTCAAGATTCTGGAAGACATAAGGAAGTATGATGGCTTGAATGAGAATGGCCCCCACAGGCTCATAGATTTGAATGTTTGGTCCCCAGGGAGCGGCACTATTTTAAAGAATTGGGAGGTGTGGCCTTGTTGGAGAAAGTCTGTCACTAGGGGAGGGCTTTGAGGTTTCAAGAGCCCAAGACAGGCCCAGTGGCTCTCTCTGCTTACTGCCTGAGGATCTGGATGTACATCTCTCAGCTACTTCTCCAGCACCGTGCCTGCCTGCATGCTGCCATGGACTGCTAAGGCCTCTGCCAAGCTCCCTGCATGCTGCCATGCTCCCTGCCATGCTGATAATGGCCTCAGCCTCTGAAACTGTAAGCCAGCCCCAATTAAATGCTTTCTTTTATAAGAGTGGACTTGGCCGTGGTGTCTCTTCACAGCCACTAAGACAGGGACACTAAGACAGGAAGACATAAGTAACTTCAGCTTTCTCCAGTTCCAGGTGGTAAAATATCTGCTACAGGAAACCAGTCCCAAGCTTGCTTGGGTAGAGTATAGAGCCCAAATTCACTATTAGAAAACCTCACCCAAGGAGTTAAAAACTGACAGCAAACCAAAAAAAAAAAAAAAAAAGAAAAAAAATCCACTAAGGTGCCCAGCATAAGAAAGCACAAAACTACATCGGAAACATTTTCACAACCTTAGGAATGTGAGACCCTGAAGATGTGGAAAATCTTGCTGAACAGAAGCTTTTAATTAAAAGAAAAAGAAAAAGTCCAAGAGGAAAGAAGCCCAATAACGGACTCAGGATGGAGGATGTAGCTCAGGGGCAGAGCACTTACCCAGCATTCAGCAGGCTACAGGTTTGTTAGCCAGTACAGAGTGTGGGGAGGAGAGACAGGAGGGTGTGTGTGAAAAGAGGGGGCAGAGAGATGGGTGGAGCGAAGGAGCAGATAGACTAAAGAGGTTACAGGGCTGGAGAGATGGCTCAGTGGTTAAGAGCACTGGCTGCTCTCCCAGAGGACCCAAGTTCAATTCCCAGCACCCACATGGCAGCTCACAACTGTCTGTAACTCCTGTTTCAGGGGGTCTGACACTTCACATAGACATACAAAAGAAGAGGCCGAGAACTGAAGATGGTAGAAAAATCTGAAGCAGGCAGTAAAGGTATACATTCTTTAAAATACTTAAAGGTAAAGACTGGAGACACAGCTTGGCCATTAAGAGCACCTGATGCTCTTCCAAAGGACCCGAGTTCAGTTCCCAGAAGCCCTGACAGGTGGCTCACTTTCCTAGGAGGATTTGACATCCCTTCTGGCCTCCGTGGGCACTATACACACTTACATACTCTTAAATAGATGTAAAATACACTTACATAAATATAAAACCATCAATTAAAGACATTAAAGAAATTATAAGGAAAGAGGCAAGAGCCAAGATATCACAAAATTAAAAATAATTAGATTTGAAAAAGAATAACCTGCTTCTGGAAATTAAGAAAACATAACAGAAATGGAAAACTAAATAAACGATGTGTTTCATCTCCAAGTTCCTATACCAAAACACCACAAGCAGGGAACCTTAGAACAACAGAAACATTTGTCCCATCTAATTCTAGAGGCTCCTGATCAGAAATTGAGGTATTGGCAAGGTGACATTACCCGTGACGCCCCCTAGAGGAGGGGTCCTTGCTTGTCCCTCATAGTGGTACTCTTTGGCTTGGGACAGTGAGTCTCTAGCCTTGGCACAGCACTCTGCACACTTCCCTGTCCCCTCCCTGTCCCCTCCCTCTGGGTGTGCATCTAAGTTTAAACTTCTCTTGCTCACAAGGACACCAGTCACAGTGAAGGCCCACACCAACCTTATTTTGATTTGATTACCTCTATAAAGAGCCTATTTCCAAATAAAGCCACATTCTGAGGGGCTGAGGGTTAGGTCTTCCATGTATCTTCTTTTGGAAGTTACAATTTGACTCATAACACATGCTGTAAAAAAAAAAAAGTGGCATTTTTGAACAATCTATTATTAAGTCATGAAAAGAATGACATCTTGTCATTTGTGCCAACACAGATGCACCTGAACAACTTTATGTTGCATGTCTACTCGTGTGCCTGTTTGTCTGCATGTGCACCATGTGTGTGCAGTTCCCGGAGGAGGCCAGGAAAGGGCAGCTGATCCCCTGGAGTTACAGATGGGCGTGAGCTACCTAGTGAGCTTGAGTACTCTGGAAGAGCAGCCATTGCTCTTAACTGCCGAGCCCCCTCTCCAGCTCTGATAATATTACATTTTGACTTTGAGAATCAATATTAAAAGTCAGCGATCACTAAGTGATGACGTATAACTGTAACGTAAGTAGAAGAAGGGGCGAAGGGCTAAAATAAGCAGTTCTTTGAAATGAAGCCAAAACAGGATGATGATGGGCCGCAAGAAATGATGGGCCAGGCATGGTGGCGCACGCCTTTAATCCCAGCACTGGGCGGGCAGAAGCAGGGGGATCTCTGTGAATCGAGGATAACCTGGCGACATAATGAGTTCCAGGACATCCAGGACTGCATAGACCTTGTCTCAAAGAAAAAAAAAAAAAAAAAAAAAAAAAGGAGGGTGTATTAAAACAAACAAAATGGTTGGGAGGAAGTCCAATGAAATCACATATAAGTCATGGAATTTAACTGCATTAAAGTGGTCAAATAGAGGTGAATATCCTGAAGGGTTGGATAGTTCAGTTACAGGCCTGTTAGAAGAGTCAAGTATGAAATACAATACGCTACAAAATTAAAATGAAAGGTTGAAAAAAGATCTACTGTTAAAGAATAACTCAAAGAAAGTGCATGCCTTTAACCCAAGCACTCAGGAGCTAGAGGCAGGCAGATCTCTCTGAGTTCAAGGCCAGCCTGGTCTACAAAGCAATTTCAGGCTAGCCAGAGGCATGTAGTGAAACCCTGTCTCAAAAAATTTAATTTTAAAAAAACATTAAGGCTGTAAAGGGGAAAAGCTCTTTGGAGGAGTTAAGAGGGGTCATTGGTTTATAACAAAGAAAAGAAGTGGATCATGGGAGGAGATCAAAGATTGAATGAACCAAAGCACATTTCCTCACACCACGTGAAGCAGATTATACAAGAAATGGATGAACTCTTCCCAATGCAGGAGGGCGTGAGCATGCCTGTTTTAGAGAGGGAAGGCTAGCCAAGGCACACACTTCATCTCTAAAGCCACAGCTGTCTGTCTTCTGCTAAAGCAGACTTTAGATCAGATGTATGCGCCCCCCCCATAATACCCAAATATCCCAGCAAATACCCAAACATAACCAATACTCAGCTAGATGGATGGAAAGCTACTTGCTCTGAGCAAGCACACAGCCTAGAAAGCATGTGCTAATAATTCATTACTGATAGTGGAGACTTCCCTTTTAACAAGCACAACTATTACAAATGGAATAATTAATGAAGACATAAAATAATGGATGGAGAAAAACAGAAAAAGAAAACTATGTCACTGTCCTTCCTCTGCAGTATTTATGAGAGGCCAGGTTCATTTCTTAAATTATTAACTTACTGTGTAAGCTAACTGGAAGATTACTTATATTCATCCTAAATGAGGGGGAAAGTACCTAAAAAGATTAAGAATCGTAAACAGAATTTGCTTTGACGCTCCCTGAGACGATAGCGGCAATGCTGCCCCCTAGTGGCAGACCCCAGCAACCTAACATGACCCAGAGGACCAGTTTCCTGAACCATGGGTCCTTTTCCTAACAAAACCATTAAGCATAGGCCACAGAGTTGATTGTGGTAAGTGTGCGGCCAGTGTCTGTTATTAATATCATTTCCATCATTACCATTTGTATTACAGCCAAGCCTATTGCTAAGTGTCTCTGTGGTGGGCAGCCATTTCCAGGTTGAAGGTCAGAGCACACAGAAAGGGCAATGGGTATCTACGGAACAACCTTCAGCCTCTTGTCTCAGAAGGGACAGTGGGACCCTCAGCCACTGCCTTCCTGGACTTGCTATCACACTGCACAAAGGACACCTTGAAGATCAATAGTGCTGCCCTGGAACACAGCCACGGGTACACGCCTTAGAATTCAATGGTACGGTCACAGGACCACTGGCCACAGAAAGGAAAGCAGGTCTCAGGTACAGAGCAGAAGATGCTGGTGTGTATGTGTGTGTGTGTGTGTGTGTGTGTGTGTGTGTGTGTGTCTGTGTGTGTGTCTGTGTCTCTGTGTGTATGTGTGTGTCCCACAGCTGAAAGTATGTAACTTCACATTAAAAACAAACTCAAGCCCAGTTTCATCATCAGGGTTCTCTCAAATCGAATGCATCATCTATGGGGCAGGAAGCAATTTTATTATTTCTAGTCTTAAAAATTTGGGTGGTGGTGACGCACACCTTTAATTCCAGCACTCAGGAGGCAGAGGCAGGAGGATCTCTGTGAGTTTGTGGCCAGCCTGGACTACAGAGTGAGTTCCAGGACAGCCAGAGAAACCCTGTCTTGAAAAACAAACAAACAACAACAAAAGACCAAAGCAAACAAACAAAAAAATCTGCATCTCAAACTGAACTTGCTCAGAAGGCCTGACATACTGTGTCCAGACTTGAATCTCAACACAAGGTCCCAGGGCAAGTGACTGCCACTCAATGTCTTTACAGAATGACAGCTTCAGGACCTTATAATCTTAGCTTGTACATGAAATACCATGGCGTGTAGGTGGGGGCCATTTCTACTTAGTTGTTTGTGACACTGTTATGTGGCTTTTAGACCAATCAGGAATTCTTAACTAAACAGACTGCATCTCCTCTCTGGAGAGTTATGACTAAGCGAAGGAACTGGAGTTGACGGAGACAGTGAGGGAATGTGAGCAAATCCTCCTAAGATGACCTGCAGGTCTGAAATGTGCAGAC